AATTTCTCAATCGACATTTATTCTGTTCTCCTCTTTTCTTTTTTTATTTCTCGATCCTGTTTATTTCATTTTTTTCTTTTCTTTTTTTTATTTCTCATCTCGTTTATTTCATTTTTTCCTTTTCCTTCTCTATTTCTCGATTCCATTTATTTAGTTTTCTCCTCCTTTCTTTTTATTTCTCAATCCCTGTTTATTTCATTTTTTTATTTTTTTTTATTTCTCGATCCTGCCTATTTTGTCTTTCTTCTTTTTTATTTCTATACTTATGGCTTTAGCTGCTCCCGCTGTAACTCCATTCGAATGGACAATTGACACTATAAAAGAATTAATTTGACTTCAATGCGATAATTATGATGATTTTGAGTTCGTTCCAAACAATCGCCATGAAAGAATATGGAAAACTATATCCAACCAATTGTTTCTTAATAGAGGATTCACTGCTTCTCCCTCTCAATGTCGTAGAAAATGGTATTCATTAAAATATGGGTACGAAAATCTCAAGAGGTTGGAAGCTGGGGAGAATCCCCATGACCAACTAATAACAAACCAAACTCTGCATGATCAGATATTTCATGCAGAGTTGGGTGACGAATTTTGGCTTCAAGAAATATATTTTTTACTTTTTAAAACTTCAATTTTTTTAATTTAATTATTATTTTTTATTATTTTTAGACATAAATTGTCATCGGTATAGAAGACAGAATGTAGATCACTGCCGGTACCAGTACTAACTCAGATCTTGTTCTTACCAGGATTGTAGATTTCATTCTCGTGGTTATTCTCGGGATTGTAGATCCCATTCTCACCATCATCATTCACAGGATCGTAGATTACGTTCCTGTCATCATTCAAGAGATCATAGATCCTGTTCTCGAAGATACAGAAAGAGGTCATATTCTTTACGAAAGAGAAGTTTTTCGAAAAGGCATTAATTTTATTTTTTTATTTTTAATAATTTTATTTTTATTTTTATTTTAATTTTTAATTTTTATTTTTATTTTTAATTTTAATTTTTAATTTAATTTTTTTATTTTTTAATTTTAATTTTAATTTTTAATTTAATTTTTAATTTTTATTTTATTTTAATTTTTATTTTTTATTTTAATTTTTATTTTAATTTTAATTTTTATTATTATTTTATTTTTTAATTTTAATTTTTTTTTATATATATTATTTTTTTTAT